TTATTATTATTATTATTATTATTATTATTATTATTATTATTATTATTATTATTATTATTATTATTAAGCTGCAAAAGTGAAGAAACATGCGGCACTTCAAAACCAAAACTAAAAACAGTGGGTCAGACGACCACCCCGCACCACCGCCAGCTGTGGTGCGCATTAGGTTTAGTTTTAGAGATTAATATGTTTATAGATTTTTTTATAGGGTTAGAGATTAATATTTTTTGCGTTTAGTTTGTGAAACAAGGTCAGAGGAAGCTGGTTCTGGTCCGGTCATTGGACCCGGTGTCGCACCATATTCTGTGACCTGCAACAGTGCATGCAACACCGCCCCCTACGGTCACAATATACGGTGGTCACAGAATATGGTGTAACACCGGTTCGCAACGAGCTCCAAACAGTCAGGAAATTGATTCATTTCTGTTTCCTTACGGTAGTTGAACCGGAAGATTCATCTTTAGTGAAATATTTCTATACTATTGATGCATTTCTACCTGTTTGCCAAGACTGGGCCTGCTCCGCTCAGTCCATCTGCTGGGAGGAATCCATTTTGTAGCTTCTACTAGTAGCCCGGTGCGGATCACGTGACACAATGACGTAACTGCGAATACTCAACATGAAATTTAAAAACTCAATAGATGTCCTAGGAAATGACCTGTCGATTACTTGAGTAGTCTGTTAAAGCTCTACTTCAGACACATCATCACCGTATCTGACGCTCTTTTCACCTCTACTACGTTCTTTGCAAACTCTTCCTTCAGGACCACCCTACTCCATTTCTCTTTCTATCCACACCATGGTAAAACAGTTTGAACCCTGCTCCAGTGCTGTGAGCCTTGCTGCCCTTCCACTTGATCTCTTGGACACGTAAAACATCTACTTTCCTTCTTTGCATCATGCCAGCCACTTCTCCACCTTTGCCTGTCATTATGCCTATGTTTAGAGTATTTGTAATGAATCATACTGCTGAAGCTGAACCTTCAGAGTCAACCAACCAATCATCCAGCCAGCCTCTGTCATGGCTATTGTCTGTTTACATTTTAACTTGCTTGAAGCTAAACAGTCTTTGTGTTTGTGTGTTTCTAGTGTCTGAGGAGTGGTAGTACAGGAGTGGCAGTGTTGATTCAAGGACAGGAGTTGACTGTGGCTTGGCTCGGAGACTCCCAAGCATTACTGGTCAGAAGAGGGGAAGTTGTTACACTCATGGACCCCCATAAACCAGAGAGAGAGGTAAAAATGTGACTATCACAAAGAATCTCTGCTGCAAAGAATTTCTAAATGTTTTTTTGTATTTTGAGTTTTGAAATGTCAAGAATAAATCTGGGATTAAAGTTCTTCATCGCCATGACACATTTCTGTTATCTTGAACGTGGCCAGGGCCGAAAAAAATAAAGAACCAGGTATTTTTTGTTATTAAATTAAATCCATCTAATCTAATTATGGCACAGTGATTAAACTGACACAACTTTCAATAAAGAGACCCAGAGCCACAGTTTTAGCCAATCAGCCAAGAGCAGGGCGGGTTGTGCTGTCTGATGTACACTGAGCTCATGTGTGAGGAGGATCATCAACTTGAAGAGAGGCTGCAGGTGAAGGCACCAATCGTTCTACGGGTCCTGTCCTGAGGGAGCAGTGGCTCAGCTGTGAGTCCTTTCTGTCTCGCTCCCCAAACACTCACAGTTTTGCTGCGCTCAGAGCAGAGCTGCAGGACTGACATGTCCAACTTGCACATGTGACCAAACTCTTGATGCTTGGGACAGAGATCCACCACTGGAGCTTATGCAGGATGAGAGGGATGATCCATCCATCCATTATCTTTACCCGCATCTTCCTTTCTGGGTTGTGGGAGTCACTGGTGCCCATGTCCAGCAGTCACTGTGCAAGAGGTGGGGGACACCATGGACATGTCTCCAGTCCATCACACGGACACATAGAGACAAATGAGACAAACGACCATTCACTCTCTCTCTCACCTAGACACAATTTAGAGTTACCAATCAGACTAACATGCATGTTTTTGGTCTGTGGGAGGAAACCAGAGCACCATGCATGCACGGAGAGAACATGCAAACTCCACCCAGAAAGGTCCCCGGCTTAGATTTGAACCGGTGACCTTCTTGCTGAGAGGCAACAGCTCTACCAACTGAGCCACCATGCCACCCAAGGGGGAAGATGCTCTGGTAATTTTTAGGTGTAAAAATTGTGTGTATGTATAATTTGTTTTGTGTTTTTTACCTGAACTCTACAGGATGAGAAGCAGAGAATTGAAGATCTCGGGGGCTGTATTGCCTACATGGGCTGCTGGCGTGTTAATGGCACCTATGCTGTTTCTAGAGCAATTGGTAAGTCATGCAGAACCAATCAGAACAAAGTGACCTATCTTACAATATTGTGTGAAAATATTGTTGAAATTTTACTTTATTTAATGATTCTATCATATACATGAAATAAAGTAAGACATAAAATGTTTGTGATTTCAATATTAGATAAAAATTAGAGTTTAAGATTAATGATGGTGCAATAGTGGGCAGCACGGTGGCGCAACTGGTAGAGCTGCTGCCTCTCAGCGAGCAGGTCCCTGATTCAAACCCCGGTCCAGGGGCCTTTCTGGGTGGAGTTTGCATGTTCTCTCCGTGCATGCGTGGGTTTTCTCCGGGTACTCCGGTTTCCTCCCACAGTCCAAAAACATGCATGTTAGGCTGATTGGTAACTCTAAATTGTCCCTAGGTGTGAGTGAGAGAGTGAATGGTTGTTTGTCTCGTTTGTCTCTATGTGTCCCTGTGATGGACTTGCGACCCATCTAGGGTGTACCCCGCCCCTCGCACAGTGATTGCTGGACATGGGCACCAGCGACCCCCGTGACCCAAAATGGAATAATTGGGTAAAGATAATGGATGGATGGATGGTGCAATATTTTTTAAATGCAAGCACCTATCAGCAGGTGGCGCAGGTGAGCATCCTTAGCCTTTAAATAAGGATCTGCAACCTTAAGAAATAAATGTATATTTTCTAAAAAAAACTGCTTATACAGAACTAAAAAACGTACTTGGCTCTTAAAAACATCCAACTGCTGTTTGCTCTTCAGAGACCTACAGCGAGTCATCCTCCTCCATCTCTGTCCTCTGCATTCTCTGTCCTCACTCCAACTACCTCCATGTCCTCTCTAACTGCATCCATATATCTGCTCTTTGTCTTTTTCCTGGCAGCTGCATTTCTATCATCCTTTACCAATATACCCACTGTCCCTCCTCTAGACATGTCCAAACCACTGTCCCTCCTCTGGACATGTCCAAACCACTGTCCCTCCTCTGGACATGTCCAAACCACTGTCCCTCCTCTGGACATGTCCAAACCATCTCAGTCTTGTCTCTCTTAACTTTATCTCCCAGTTCTTCAACCTGTGCTGTACCTCTGATGATCTCATTCCTATTCTTTTCCATCCTTGTCACTCCTAAGGAGAACCTCAACATCTTCATTTCTGCTACTTCCAGTTTTTAAAATATTTAAATACTGGGTGACTTCAGTCCAGCCTGCCAATGATTTAAAAATAACAAACATGAAAGAGAAGTTTAAAAGTTTTGAAATGACAAGAGGCAATCCTTTTCTATAGAATGATCTATGACAGGTTTTACAACTCAGTCTGCCAGTGACTTCATTTAATATAAAAGTAGATTTGAAATCAGTAAAAACAGAAGAATAACAACAAAACGTGAAATGAGAAATATTTTCATCAGAAGAGATCCTCTTAAAGACGATCTGTGATCTCGGGCAGTCAGTTGAAGAAGCCAATCATTTAGTATTTCTCATGTGCACCGACCATCTGAACTAGTGACGTGTTGGTGGCTTGTAGTGCTAACAAGAGTACCGGTAGTTAGAAAACACGGCAACACGTCATTCCCAAAGGTGGGAAAAAAAAGAAATGTTGGCCTTGAAAATCGTCAATTCAACATAGAGTGGACAGATAAATATTGTATTGAAAGTACTGAAGGCAAGCCGATGTGTCAAACGAGTGCAGCGCTGTGGCAAAGGATTACAACCTGCGGATGCATTTTCTAACCAAACACTGAGGCTTCCACCAGACTTTCCCACCTGCTTCAGACATTCACCTACATAAACTGTTTGTGCTGTCGGTGCAGCTGTCAGCTGTGACACCACGGATGAAATCCCTCCACTGTCATTAAAACAAGTTCTCCTTAACAAAGGAGAGCCTTGCATCTTTTGAACCTGACTGTTCTGCCATTGTCCAGTTGAAGAAGTACAATTTCGCTCATTAGTAATGTGGAGTCTAGATGTCTAGATGGGGGTGAGGGGGTGGGGGGGTTACACTAACACTGTTTATAGTGGAGGTGGTGTGCTGCTGACCTCAGCTTGGGACGTCGGTGGGCAGAGTACTTCGAAGACCTCCTCAATCCCACCAGCATGTCTTCCACTGAGGAAGCGGAGCCTGGGAACTTTGGGTCAGGCTCTCCGATCTCTGGTGCTGAAGTCACTGAGATGGTTAAAAAAACTCCTCTGTGGCAGGGCCCCAGGGGTGGATGAGATTCGCCCGGAGTTCCTTAAGGCTCTGGATGTTGTGCGGTTGTGTTGGCTTACACGACTCTGCAAAACTGCGTGGACATCTGGGGCAGTTCCCCTGGGTTGGCAGACCATGGTGGTGGTCCCCCTATTCAAAAAGAGGGACCATAGAGTGTGCTCCAACTACAGGGGGATCACGCTAATAAGCCTCCCTGGTAAGGTCTACTCAGGGGTTCTGGAGAGGAGGGTCCATCGGATAGTCGAACCTCGGATTCAGGAGCAGCATTGCAGTTTTTGTCTTGGTCTTGGAATACTGGACCAGCTCTACCCCCTCAATAGGATCCTGGAGGCTGCGTGGGAATTTGCCCAACCAGTCCACATGTGCTTCGTGTCCCTCGGGGAACCCTGTGCGGGGTAATGCACATACTCCCATAAAGGAGTACGGGAGTACCTGGTATCCCACATACTCCCAAACAGGAGTATGGGGTGCCAGGCCCTTTGATACGGGCTGTTAGGTCCCTGTATGACCGGTGTCAGAGCTTGGTCCGCATTGCTGGCAGTAAGTCGGGCTCATTCCCGGTTAGAGTTGGACTCTGCCAAGGTTGCCCTTTGTCACCGATTCTGTTCATAACTTTTATGGACAGAATTTCTAGGCGCAGCCAAGGTGTTGAGGGGATCCGTTTTGGTGGCCTTAGGATCGCTTCTCTGTTTTTTTTTTCCAGATGATGTGGTCCTATTGGCTTCATCAAGTCGTGATCTACAGCTTTCGCTGGAGCAGTTCACAGCAGAGTGTGATGCAGCCAAGATGAGGATCAGTGCTTCCAAATCTGAGGCCATGGTCTTGAGCCAGAAAAGGGTAGAGTGCACTCTCTGGGTCTGGGAGAAGGTCCTTCCCCAAGTGGAGGAATTTAAGTATCTTGGGGTCTTGTTCACGAATGAGGGAAAAATGGAGCCAGCTATCGATAGGTGGATAGGTGCGGCATCTACAGTGAAGCGGGCGCTGTACCGGTCTCATGGTGAAGAGCGAGCCAAGTCAAAAGGTGAAGCTCTCAATTTACCGGTCGATCTACGTTCCTACCCTCATCTATGGTCATGAGCTTAGGGTTGTGACCGAAAGAACAAGATCTTGGATACAAGCAGCAGAAATTAGTTTTCTCCGCAGGGTGTCTGGGCTCCCTCAGAGATATGGTGAGAATCTCGGTCATCCAGGAGGGACTCGGAGTAAAGCCACTGCTTCTCCACGTTGAGAGGGGCCAGTTGAGGTGGCTCGGGCATCTGGTTAGGATGCCTCCTGGACTCCTCCCTGGTGAGGAGGCCCAGAGGAAGACCAGGACACGCTGGAGGGACTATGTTTCTCAGTTGGCCTGGGAACGCCTCAGGATTCCTCTGGAGGAGCTGGCCCAAGTGGCTGGGGAGAGGGAAGTCTGGGCCTCCAGGCTGCTACCCCCACGACCCGACCCCGGATAAGTGTAAGAAAATGGATGGATGGAAAATAAATCTTGAAATGCAATTTCTTTTAATTTTACTTTTGGGTTCTGTTTATTGCATTTATGATTCAATGCAGCAAAATAAACTAATTTAAAAGGTAACAGATCATTGTAATACTTAATTTATTTACATAATGACATTAACTGCTGGATGTCCGGCCCCTGAGCTGCTGGCTTTCAGAAACTGTGGCCCCCTGAGCAGTTTAGTTGAATAGCCCTGCTACAAAGGGAGGGTGAAGATTATCTAGTTTTTGTTGCCTTTTTAGGACCTTTTCTGGTATAACCACCTACCTTGTCGGGACAAGAAGTCTTTATTTGACCTAATCAGCCATAATTTGGTGTAATGTTGTTTCTGGGTTAAGGCTAAGATGTCAGTTAAATTTAGGTTAGGGTTAGGCATGCACTAGTAATGATAGTTTAAAGGTCAAGGTTACGCTACAGGAATGGACAGAAGTCAATAAAATGCCCAAATAAAGACAGAAAGACAAACTTCTGTGAGTGTATGTGCGTCAAGGTAAATTCAAAAGCATGAAAACATTATGACCCTGTGTGTGAGAAGAATAGTCCCTCTGCTCTGATGTGCTGCTGACACTTCCATCGGTCCTCCAGGTGACTTTGACCAGAAGCCGTATGTGTCCGGCGATGCAGACTGTTCAACAATCCAGCTGTTGGGGGATGAGGACTACGTGCTGCTGGCGTGTGATGGCTTCTTTGATGCAATCAGACCTTCAGAGGTTCCATGTATGGTTGTGGAAGCACTCCAGCAGACTGGTGCCCCTGAAGAGGGACATGTTCCACAAGAGCTCTTTAAGGAAGGTGTGGGACAGAACGTGGCTCAGAGATTGGTGGGTGAGGCCAAGGCCGCAGGTTCTAGTGATAACATCACTGTGATGGTGGTGTTCCTCCGTCCACCGGATCAGCTGATCGTTCAGCACTGCACCACAGGAACTGTAGAAGATTCTCCACAACATCCTGCTGCCCAGGTACCAAGGAACCAACCGTAGGTGTGACATATTATCTGTGAGGCTGTCTGACGTCCTGGGCACTGATGAGGGCTCACACGAGAACACGGTTGAATGCAGAGTAAGAACTGATTCAGGTCACATCTGAGAATAAATGAAAAAGTTTAATGGATGTTGGAGAGCCCCTCTCAACTCTCTGCAACTCCTCAAACTGGAAAATTCCCCCCAGTGTCTGCTAATAATCACAGATGTAACGAATGAGGGGTCGCAGAGGCAGTCTGATGGGTGGAGTGTGTTTAGGTGGGATTTATTCAACTTGTGTCTTTGCACACACACACACACACACACACACACACACACACACACACACACACTCCCTCTTCTGATTTCTAACTTGCATGTGATCACATCTAACTGCACAGCTTCAGTCCATTTTGCCGTGCACCACCACTGCAGCCTCGGAGCTCACTTGAACCTGGACAGAGCTGGTTAGTTTTATCAGCAGCACAGATCTGGCAAATTAATTTTATGGATTGACTTATTGGACTTTAATGCTAATGTTTCCCCTCACCACTATTTCTGCTCCTGGACGTAGAAATTTTTAGTTTTTTGTAAGTCAACGTCTATTTGTTGACTTGTTCTCATTGACAGAGTTGATCTGGTCTGAACACTGGACTTCAGGTGGAACCAAAAAAAAAATCAAAGTGGGCATGTCATGGTTTTTTCAGTGCCTCTTCTAATTTATAATACATGTGAGGGTTTTACTATGCTTTTTACTGTAATTATTGATTACCTGAAATTATGGTAATAAGGGGATTTGTATTTGATTTAAATTCATGGTTGGAGAGTTTTAATCAATACTTGTTGCACAATTTATTTTTGCAAATAAATTTGGAAACTTCTTCTAAAAGTTGTTTCCAGTTAAGGCTGGGGAAATATGGGCGTGGGTGGTGCTGCAGCACCTCATGATGGATGCTACTGAACTTGCATGTACATGCAAAAACAAGGAATTAATTAATACTAACAAAACAAACTTGTAATAATCAGTGTTACATGTGTTTAAATTCCAATCCTGTTTTGTTACAAATGAGTTTGGGACACTTAAAAAAAACATTTAGTTTTAACTTGTGACCCATCTTATGTGGAAGTGCTCGGCGTTGTTAGTTTGTTCACAAAACCCTTTGAGGTGTTGTCGTACCAGCAGCTCCACAGATGCAGATGGACCAGGCCTGGGCCCGTATGAGATTCTAACAGTATCAACCGTGAGCAAAAACACAGTTTTATGGTATTAAAACAACCATTAAATGTGTTTTTTATTACTTTTATTTAAAAACTGAAATGCATTTTTTTAACTACTGCTGCCTCAGTAACATTACATTGTTTTATAATTATAATATGGGTATAACTGTAAAAATACTTACCGTAATTTCTGGACTATTGAGCGCACCTGAGTATAATATATATATTTTGTACATATATAGGCGGCGCTTGTCTATAAGCCGCAGGCGTCCACGTTGTAATGAGTTATTTACACAGAAAGATTTTTAAACTTTTAATTAAACGCATACTGGTAACGTATACAAATACGTACAGTACCGTAAATGTTGTTTTCTGAACAGTAGCTGTAGCACAACTGGTTAAAAAAATTAATAATACAGTAGCCTACCAGGAAGTCACTGAATCTTCATCTTCCTCCTGCTCTGCTGTCAGGATCCACCGGCAGACTTGAGCTAATGTTGCTCTGTGCATGCAACCTGCAGCCTGCTGTCTATAGTTTGGGTTCTGATGTGCTAATTACTCTTGTAGCTTGTTGCAAACATTTGTTTTAAAACAGTGTTAGCTTGAAAAGAGCGTCACTTCTAACAGACCAGCCATGACTGTTATACATTAGATAAAATGTAAAACTGATTTATTTTTCTTATCATTAAAAGCTCTGAGGAAATCCTTCATCTAGTGTGCACAACTGAATGATGTCTCAGAGCAACAGGTTCAGTCACTGTGGAGGGAAATAATGTGCACTGCCTCCGTTTTGTATTTATGCATTTAAACCAAAGGTGAGTGAGTGTACGCTGCATTAACACTGTGGTATCAACCAGGGATGAGCGTCTCATATTTAGATGGAAACTTCTCCTTTAGCCTGATTACACACAGAGTTTCTCACTACACTGTTTTTATTTAGCTCTATTTAACCCGTAAACAAAGTTGATTTGAATATAAGTTACATTTCATGAAGTGTTGTTGCTTCAGAGAGAACTCTGTGGCCGTTACCGTTTTTTAACGCGGATGTTTCCGGTCTTCTGTCCTCGTTCACATCTTCTCTTTGCGTCAGTATTAAATGTTGTTTTTGAATAAACTGTGTTTTGGGGCTCATGGAATTGAAATTTAGAGTATTAACGTATTAATAAGCTTGATGGAAGTGGTTTTATGTTACCTTGGAAACGTTGGATCTTTTTTAAGGCGTATAAAGTTTGGCCGGGCTGGTTCTTCTCCAGGCCTTGGATTAACCCGACTAATCCTCAGCGTAGCTGCTGGGGTCTTGTGTTTGAAAGACACCAGGTAGCAGACCTGATTCCAGGTGCTGTAAACGATTGATGTGTAACATGTTGCTCAGTTAAAACCTTCTGCAGTATCACTTTTTCCTGTTTGATTAACGTTTTAAATGCTAATCTCTTTCCGAACACTTGAATTCACATAAAATGTTGTCAATGAGTCCGCTGTAAAAACTCAGAAGTTTTAAAATACTTTCTTGTGTATTGATAACAGGTTGGTTTGTACTTTTCTAACATCTGAATAAAAAGCCTCTCTGACAGCAGTCTGGACATGTTTACTTCATTTAAACACAAATCAACCATAAAGACTGAAACAGACTTTTGTTTGTAAATCATCGGATGTAGTTTCCTTATTATCACTCACCATCAACGGCAAAGGGTGATAATATTCTTGCCTGAGTCTGTATGTGTGTTTGTTGTGTTAACAAAATATCTTAATATAATCAAAGTAATCACTGTACAGGTGCTGGTCATAAAATTAGAATATCATGAAAAAGTTCCCTTAACAAAAAGTAGTACATTTGAAGTTTTATTTTTGCAAGTATGCTTTAAGTATTATCAAGTATACTACATACCATACTTGTAGTGTACTAGAAGTATACTGATTTAATACTAGTTTGGACTAAATTGGGACATTTTTATACTATTTTTAAGTATATAAAATAAACCAAAAAAGTTCAATCTGGTCCTCTGGACATTCAAAAAAAACAAAAGCTAAACAAAAAAATGTAGAAACGTTTCGTCTCTCATCCAAGAGACTTCCTCAGTCTGAGGTGCTGTATTCAGCTCAGTCTCTTAAATAGCACCTTCTCAGAGTGGATCAACCAGTTTTGCTGCTGACAACCAAAACCAGCTGCTCACATGCTCAAGAAGGACCATCAGCCTAACAATGGATCATTAGCACACTGATGGCTGTTTACTGTTCACAGAGGGCTGAGTGATACTAGCAATCACAGCATTGTAAGAAGGGGACAATTGAACACGTAGGTCTCCACCCCTGTTTAATGATGGACGATTTCTTTTCACAAAGATGGCCTCCTTTACTCCTCTCTCAAACCATCGTTCCTCTCTGTCCAGGATGTGAACATCTTCATCCCTGAAAGAGTGACCGCTGGCCTGGAGATGAGTGTAGACCGCAGAGTCCTGGCCTGATGATGTTGATCTTCTGTGCTGGGCCATCCTTTTGGCCAGTGGCTGTTTAGTTTCCCTGATGTAAGACTGATCACAGCCCTCCTGACACTGAACAGCATACACAATATTACTCTGTTTGTGCCGGGCCCCGGGGAGGGAGAAAGGAATAAGATAGATAGATAGATAGATAGATAGATAGATAGATAGATAGATAGATAGATAGATAGATAGATAGATAGATAGATAGATAAAGTGCTGACGGGGCAGCAAAAACTTACTTCAGGGCAAGAAAGAGAAAACCAAACTAGTGATGGTAGTATGAAATAAAAGCTTCAAAACATGCTTCAAACCCTGCAGTAAAATTACATCGAACCACTGCTTCGGAGCCTGTTTTGGTGCAGAAAAAGTCACGTGACGTCCGAAACACAAACTGTTTCGTTGTCTGAATGAATCTCTTGACTGGTTCGTGGTCCAAACAGCTGATTCCCTGGCACCGCCTCGTCTCGATTCTGACAGGTGACAGGTTGAGATGGTTTTGAATTGAGAGCTCAACACTATGAAACAGCTCTAAAATGTTTGCAATGTGTTGGAGAGTAGGTGTGTTTCTGTCGTTAGTTTGAATTGAGTAATTATGGAGGCAGCCAGGAAAAGAGGACGTTCTAACATGTGGGAACACTTCATTCTGCTCATGATGAGGTGGTTTTGGTATTTAAATGTCAAAAATGTTATAGTAATGTGCAACAGTGAAGATATTATCTAACCCATGTATTTAATATAATTACAGTAAAATGATGTATGTGATTTTAATAATCATCAGTATGGGCTCAAATTAAATTTTTTATTTACATTAGTGTATTTCTGCAGGTGCAGTGTTTGGTGTGTTCAACTTTTTTTAAATTATTTTATTACAAAACTTGATCAATTTTACAAACTGTCTGCCAGGAGTATATTAGCAGGTACAAAAGTATAGAAAGAACAATTTGGTTATAAAATGGTACAAAGGGTAAAAAATTCTAAAGATACAACACGATATATTTACATGTTATACAGATAAATTCACATTAAGTTTTTCTAGAACTGAGATGGTTTTCATTGCCTTTTTGTTTTCCAGTCCTTTAACAGTGGTGCTGTAAATGTAAAGTTCTGCTGAAGTGGGTCATGCTTGACTTGGAGTTTGACCACTTTTTCTTGTGAATGTGGAATTTTCCCAGGAGAAGTTGAAGTTGGGTGAAGTAGATCAAGTCTTTGTCCATATCCTTATTGTTGAAGCATAATATAATAATGTTTTTCTCTGCAAGTTGAATTATTTGTCCAGTTTTCTGTCGTATGAGTTGTTGTACATCTGTCCAGAACGTCTTTGTGTGATTACATTGATAGAATAAATGAGATTGTTTCCATGTGTAGTTCACAAACTGTACAAGAGTAGTCAATAAAGTTTAAATATTTCCAGTGTTTTTAACAGGGTTTACATTATGATTGATTTTATATGAAACCTCTTTAACTTTGTTATGCAACATTTTTCTCCATTCAACCAAACTTGTTTCCACTTAATTTCTCCAAAAGTAGAGGACCAAAAAAAAAAAAAAATCTACCAGGAGGTAAAGTAATCTTCTGCAGATGTTTGGTGTGTTCAACTGAAGCATCATGATACCTCCTCTATGATCAGACACTTCAGTGTCAAACATGGAGATGCTGGAGACGTCATTTCATTGATATTTTAAGAATAAAGACTCAGACTTTGCCACAGTTACACAAGCACAACACCACTGAAACATTTTTATTAAATCTCTTCAATGCACATTTATCAGTCTTTATTCAAAAACATGTAGGCATAAATAAATTTTCAA